ACGTTCTATAGCGTTGGAATGCAGTCGAGGCAAATTCCGCTTTGGACACTTGAATGAAGATAAGGGCAACCAAATACACAGAACGGAAGTTGCAGGGCTACCTTACTCGATGATTAGAGCAGTTGAAACCCCATCTAATATCGGAGAGCAAGGTAGACTTTTTAAGCAATCGCCGAGCCGGACATATGAAGAACAAAATTCTGGAAACGTAGAGGATAATTCGAGTTACACATAAAGAGTGTACTCCATGCCTATGTAGCAATAGCAAAGCGTGTGGAATTGCTGTTTTAAATAAACGGGAAGGAGACAGAAGACAGCTACTCAGATATGCACTGTGATAAAAAGATTCAAGTGGAACACAATACTTTCCGTAGTGAAAATGCAAGAAACCTGGTTGGGGACCATCATTCACAAGGCTTCAGTCTACGTGCTCTTACGAAACGCAAACTCAAATGCCTTATGACAAAAATTAGACCTCAGGTCTCCAGCCGGAGGCATTTAGTAGTCTATGAAAATAACGCGCAGCTGAACAAGTTCCGACGTGCCTAGTTCTATCAGGAATATAGGAGGGAGAAGTGGAGGTCTGATAGTGACTTCTGTTTATATAACGTCGATGCAGCGTGATGTGGTTGGATACAGGGAGGAACATATTGAGTTCGGCTTGAGCAATGGAAGCTTCAGAGTTCTTATAAATGCACATTTTTGAGAGGGCAAACCTTCCCACTGGTGCTGGCCATTTGGGTATGCCAACCGCCAAATTCGTCGACACAGAGGGCGGGGGATATGAAGAGAAGCAGGAAGCAACGCTGATTACTTTTAGGAACAAAAGGAGTAGACTAAGGGACTTCAAAGCTTAGAGGAGGAACCTCGGAGGAGAAAACGGTTATATTTGAAAGGCGAACGATCACCAGCTAGAACAAGCGGCCTGGACAAGCATCGTAAGCAAAAGGTAAAGTTCACGGAAAATAAGCGCAGATACGAGGGCACGGTGACATATAGTGCTTTAAGTTGAGGTATGTGGGCATGAAAATTCTCAGCGAATTAAAGCAGTCAAAAATGATAGGATGGCAGCGATATGTGCACGCGACGGGTGGGAAAGGTCATCAAATTAGAAGCCGAATGCGACAAGAAAAACTGTGCAGTAGAACGATGGTAAACACTCAGTATCTGTACAATGTAGTCCATGCATAGCAATAAGATTCACGTAGTTATTAAATTACTAAAAGCAAAGCCTGTTGTCGAAAAAGGTCAACAAAAAGATGCGCAAATGTAATGTGGGTGTTGAACGACGGGAGGCTGTTCAAAGCCAAGTGTGGTTAGGGGATATATTTATAAAAAGGTTAAGATTCGGTACTAATCAGTAAGAGGTCAGATCGCTGTATTCTGTAAAAAGCGATCGAGCAACAACAGCAACAGACTTGAGTGAAAACCAACTGATTGAG